GGCCGCCCGCAGCCGCAGCCGCGAGCACCTGCGCTCGCGTAGCCCCAGCCCCGAGCTGCGGGGCAGGCCGGACCCTGACAGGCCAGTGGGCGTCCTCCTGATGAAGAGCAGAGGTGATGAAGGTAGGAGCACGAGGGGGGCCGGCACCGTGCTCCTGCTGGCGGCCAGCCCTTCCTGCCACACGCCTGACGTGCCCCGGCGTGGACCCCGCTGCCCGGCACCTGCTAGCTCGTTCAATCCTCACGACCACGGCAGGAGGGAGTTACTCTTACATCTTCCCTTTATAGAGAAACTGAGGCACAGGAAGGTTCATTGACTCGCACACGTTATAGTCAGTGGGAGAGCCAGGCTCCAGAACCGTGGCTTTAAACTACCAGGCCAGTGGTTCTCCAAGTGCCGTAAGGATCACCTGGCACTTGTTAGAAATGCAGATTCTCAGGCCCCCAGGCCCACTGAACAGAAACCACGGGGAGGGCCCTGGCCTCTGCGCTAACAAGCTGTCCTGGTGATCCTGACGCATCTCAGGCTGGAGCAGCGCGGTGGAGGACAGCGCTCCGGCTAATCTTGATTGCATTTCAGCTCTCTGCCAGGGCCCTGCTGAGCAAATACGACCTCCTTTAATCCTCCCAAGGACCCTGTGTAGTAGCAGGCTTCACCTGTTTCACAGGTCAGGAATGCCATGAGACAGGATTTTGGTATGCTCATTGACGAGACCGGCTGTGGCCCAGTGTGCCCATCCCACGTGGCATTTTTGGAGCCTTGCACACACTTAACTACACCCGGGTTCACCAAAGCCCAGGGCAGCAGCCAGAGAAGCTGTTATAGCATCTGCAGTTTATAAGTGAGGATTCTGAGCCTCAGACTGAGGACACACCTTGCCCATGCTTTGAAACCAATAGATAAATGATGGAGCTAGAACCCAAACTCCATCCCCAGGAAATAGATGACAGGTGATGGAACAGGGCTTTTGAGCCTAGTGTTGAGATATTCCTCTTGTCTGTTCTTGTCTTCTGACTTTTTAAATTCCTTATAACACATCTTTTATCTCCTTTTCTGTAACTGTTCTCCTTCTGAGAGGAAAAAAGATAAAGAGCACCTGAGAATTCTAAGTGAAAGATGCCTTGCTTTTTAGGTTTGGGATTTGCATTTTCGGTAGCCTATCAGATGAGAGGGTTTGTTTTCTTTAGTTTTTCATGAAGAGTTGAGTTCTATAATTGGATGCCTGTTGAAATAACTGAAGAATAATGCAAGGGTGTGAGTAAGGGGATCCTTTGAGTTCAGTCCAAAAAAATAAAGGTGAAAGTCGAGATCGTGTTATCTCTGAGCAGTGTGCATCTTAGGATTTCATAGGCTCTTTATCACCGTTTGTAATGATACATAGTCAACTCCAAGAATTGCAGAGTAGGAACTATCCTGCATCTGTGTTGAAAGGTGGACTGGAGAGAAGTTTTGAGAATGCTAATTTGGCAGAGGTTGGACAGCATTCTTTTTTTTTTTTTTTTTTTTTTTGGTCTTTTGTCTTTTTCCGTGTCCGGCAACAGATCGCAACCCTCAGTGTTGCGCCCGTACCGGACCGGGGACCGGCAACGGGATTGCAACCCTCGGCGTCGCTCCCGCGCCTCGCTCAGCCAGTGAGCGGGAACCGGTCGTACGTGGGATCCGAACCTTCGGGCGGGAGTGCCGCTGCGCTTCCCAAGCGGCGCACTTATCCAGTGCGCCACCGGGCCGGCCCATGGACAGCATTCTGTAGTATGCACCCCAGGTTCTTGAGTCACTTATGGCACTGCTTTTCAAATTTCTCTTCCTCTTCTTTCTCCCTTTGCCCTCCTTCCCCTCCTTTTCCTCTTTCCCTTGCTCCACCTGCCACAGAAAGAACTGCATCTTATAGATAATCATGGATGCAGTTATATTTTTAAAAAACATGAACAGAAGTTTCATGGAATGGTACTTTGTGTGATGCACTCTAAGAGATTCCATTCCCTTAAATTTTTAAAATGCTGGTCGCAACCCACTAAATTGACTTTAAGACCTGCTAACAAGTTTGCAACCCACAGTTTAGAAAGACAGTGTCTCTCCTAAGAGATTACCCAAGTCATGACTGGTCTTAATAAATCAGGGAAAAACAGGGCTTATGCCCCTTTGCTGATACAGCATTTTACTTTTTCTTCAGCATTTTGTTCCCCAAACTTGAAAATCATTAAACAAAAACAAGTTCCACTTTTTAAAAGAAAATTTGTTTGCCACCTTTTCTCCAATTACAAAATAACTTAGCTGTCACTGGATAGGGTTGCATAAGAATGAGTCTTTAAAGAAATCTGACAGTAGACAGGGTTTGGTTAAGAGAAAGTATACATTCCTATGGTCAGCTGTTGCATTTCAGGAGCACCTAATCGCCTTGCTTGTAAATGTTGTAGAAGCTGGGTGGGGGGGGGGGGTTCCTTTATTTAAGAAATGCTCATATATGCCCCAGTAAATCTATTTGCAGATTTACAAGAAGATTGCAATTTTTAAGAGGAGAGAGGAATTGTTGAAAAAGAAGTTATTACTCAGACTTGTCTCAGGCTTCTGTTCTGGGCCGAGAGGCTTTTTGGCCAGTACAAGGTTGTCATCCATGAAAATAGATGCACGCTTCCCTAATTCTTTCTTGATTATCAGTTCCTAAAGTGGTGGGGGACAAACCACAACACTTTTAATCATTGTGGTAATATCTGATGCTAACACGTTTACTGTAAGTCATTTAAAACTTATTTTTAAATCTTCTTCATAACTTTGAGTTATAGGAAGTTACTTTGTTTTGTAATTACAAATTATAAGCTTCTCAGTCAGAACAATAATAAAAAAAATTTGAATGTGCCTATTTTAAAACCTGCTAAGGTAGCTGGCTGCTTATAGCTCAGTTGGTTACAGCACAGTGTTATAACACCAAGGTCAAGGGATCGGATCCGCATACTGGCCAGCCACCAAAGAAAAGAAGAGAAACCTTAAAAAAAGAAAAAGTTGTGGAAAAATAGAATTAAAAGATTAAAACTTGCTAGGTTGTGGCAGCTTCCTAAAATAACCAAAATTCATCCTTAAATTATCTATTTTTATAGATTTAATAAGTAAAAACAGAATAGTCTGAATAGCATTTCAAATGTTTTAAAATATACAACTTAGTAAATACAATATTTTTTCTTTTGGTAGCAATTCAAAGTCCATAAACTCCCAAAGCCATGCTGGTTTTAGTTAAATGCTTTATTAATTGCTTTGCCTGGCTTATTGACTCTTTTTTTCACATACTGAATTTCTTTCAGTGCCAAACCCTACACAATCTAAATTTGTTTACAGATAAATGGTGTACTATTTGCAGTGCCTTCCTGTGGGCAACTTCATTGTCTGTAGAACATGCCTGTTAAGATATGCTGACTTGTTTTTTTTCTCCCCAACATTTCATTTGAAAAATACAATTTTATAGCAAGCACCCCTGTAGCCTTTACCTAGTTTTACCAGTTGTTAACATTTTGCCACATTTGCTTTCTTTCTCCTTTTTCCTGTTTTTCCTCTCTACTCCCTTTCCCGCTGTTCCCCACTTCTGTTTTCTCTATGGTTTTTTAGGAACCACTTGAAAGTAAGTTTCAGGCAACATCACCCATTACCTGTAAATATTTCAGCAGGTATCTTCCAAGGATAATGTTCTCCTACATCACCATAATGCCATTATCACATTTAAGAAAATTAATGTCTCTTTATTATAGTTCATTTTGAAATTGTTCCCAAAATACTGTAAACCCCGGCACCCCACCTCCGAGTTGGATGAAGGATCTAGTGAGGATTCATGTGTTGCATTTGGTTTTTATGTGTCTTTTAATCTAGAACAGTCCCTCTGCCTCTTTTGTTTTCAATGGCATTAACTTTTTTGAAGAGTCCAGGCCAGTTATCTTAGAGAATGTCCCCTACAAAATTAATTTTTCATAAGTATTCTTAAATAGTCCTAAAAGCCACTCTTAGTTATCTGAACAAGTTGATGACATACATGTATGTTTATGTGTTTGTCCCCTAGAGTATGGTCTCCGGCTTGGGAGTCAGATCTTCATAAAGGAAATGACCAAAACGGGTCTGGCAATGAAAGATGGCAACCTTCATGAAGGGGACATAATTCTCAAGGTGGGCGGACAAGGGGACAGAGCATGAGTGCAGGCTGGCAGTCAGAGCCTGCGTTTCCATGTTCAAGCACCAGCACAGTGAAACTTAGTTGCAGGGAGAGTCAGTAGTGAGACAGAGGCTGGAAGAGCAGAACAGTGAGAGGACTGTTATCAGAAAAAGCAGACTTGGAGATGTGTAACAGATTGTAAGTTTTTGTTTTTTAAAACAAACTCCATGAATGCTTTCTTCTTCCTGTTTATTTAAAGTTTAGGTTCCTATTCCCTAAACTGAGGAAGGATGAGAGGGCGAGTTGGGGGGATATGAGTGTTGAATATTTCATAGCTCTTGTAAACCTCTCCGGTAGGAAACACACTCCAGTAGGAAACCAAACCATCGTCTCGAGTTTGGAGGTTAAATAAATTAGCAGAGTAACTTAAGTACACTACACCTCTTTCAGGCCTGTGTTTGGGATCATACAGGGTTATACTTAATTTAAAGAATAATTCATTTTTATTCAGTTGGTCATCCTAAAGCCCATGTCCGTTTAAGTATCTGAGCAATGTCTTTATATTTTAGAAGAGGAAAATATGAATTTTCTGTCTTGCTGTGAATAGTTGTATTCCATATAGCATTACCATTCTTCATAAACACAGATCAATGGAACTGTGACTGAGAACATGTCTTTAACGGATGCTCGAAAATTGATAGAAAAGTCACGTGGAAAACTCCAGCTAGTGGTGATGAGAGACACCAAGCAGACCCTCATCAACATCCCGTCGTTAAATGACAGCGACTCGGAAATAGAAGGTAAAGGAGGAGGGGCTGGGAGCTTAGCTGGAAGTAAGGAGAGTGGTTGCTTCTGTGTTCTGATCTCTAGCTAGCACAGACCTCCAGCTAGAAATTGAATTTACTGTGAAAGCTTCCCCTTTAAATTTCAATTCCAAAAGTTAAGTGTTTGGTTTCTATCTATTGAGATTAGGATTCCAATATGGAATTTTTGTGCACTTATGAACTCCCAGAGGACTCTTAATTAGGCCACTGAAAGCAGAACTTATTAGTAAGAAATGTATGTGTGAGTGGTTTGATGTGCTAATTGCTCACTCTTGGACTTGTGTGGTTTTTTAAAAGTGACTATTAGTATTTCCAACAAAGAAGACAATTTGGGGAATAGCTAAAACAGGTAGACACTATAATAATGAATTGAAATGGCTGAATAGTGTGGTGGTATTCTTTGATTAGCAATCTGTATCCCCTCTTCTCTTTTGAAAAGCTGTATTCACTACTTGAATATTAATTATACATACGATAACACTTTAACCTCGTAAAAATTACCAATAAAAATAATAGAAATTAACCATGTTCTATTGCTTTTGTGCAGAAAAGTTTAGGAAATATTAAGTTCTCAAGTTATAAAATAGGCTTTTTATTTATTTACTTACTTTTTAAGAATTTCTTTATAAAATCTTAAAGCTTAGTTTAATTTCCAGTATATCAAAAGTCTAATCAGTCATTCACTGCTATGGGTGCAGTGCAAGAAAATAAAAAGAGTGTGAGAAATAATCCCAGCATGTTAGGAGTTTACAGATTATTTTTTGGCTACTTAAATTGTGGTCCTCAGCCTGCCCAGCAGCATCAGCATCACCTGGGAGCTTGAGAGAATTGCAGAATCTCAGGCCCTACCCCACAATGACTGCATCCTAACGAGATGTCCCGGTGATTGTACATACGTTCATGTGTTCATGTTTGTGAAGCTCTGGTCTGTTTGTTAAGAATGAGCGCATATGTCCACGATCCAGTAATTGAATTTTGAGTCTTCAGTAGCAGCTTTGATGGAAAGTGGGATGAAAGAGAAATATGCACTTCTGAATTTGGCCTCCTCTTTATTAATTAATGTCTTTCCTTTAAAACTATGAAATTTACTTTTACCAGGGGAAGACTTTTAGACCAATAGTACATTTACTGTCAGCCAATAGTACATTTACTGTCAGCCCCTCTTCCATTCCCCATGTTTTCTATCCAGAGAATAGTATAATTTCTGGGATGTGTCTGAAAATTATTAAAAAGTCTTTTCTTGTTCCTGGTACTGGGCAGCTGCAAAAAAAAAAAAAAAATCTTATTTTTGTAACCAGATATCTCAGAGATAGAGTCAACCCGATCATTTTCTCCGGAGGAGAGACGCCAGCAGTATTCTGATTATGATTATCATTCCTCAAATGAGAAGCTGAAGGAGAGGCCAAGGTAAGGTGATGTGTATTTCCCTTGCACGTGTCACTGTGAATGAATCTGTCACCTCATGAGACATTAACATCACCTGTGCTTAAGTTCAAGAGAGGACACACCAAGCAGATTGTCCAGGATGGGTGCCACACCCACTCCGTTTAAGTCCACGGGGGATATTGCAGCTGTACTTGTCACAGAGACCAGCAAGGAACCCAGATACCAAGAAGAACCCCCAGGTGAAGCTTTAAGACATTTTCAGCAGTTGTGTTCAGAAGTGCATGCTTGATAATTCTAGAATGTGGCTGGAAGGAGAGGCAGATATTATAAGTTATTCTCATATATGGGACAGGCTCTCCTGTCTCTCTCATACCATTGAAGAAACATAAATAGTATAACAGTCTTTTCTGTATGCCATCAGAACTAGTCAGATTTGTCATATTTGCTGAGCTGAGGTCCTTTTGTCTCCCATCTTTGATCCCAACCTCATCTCCCTACCCTACAGGCCCCACAACCCAACAATTATCATAATTTTATATGCATAAATACTTATCCATGGGGGAAACATAGCATTATTATAGGGTTTTAAGTTATAAAAAATGCCATCTTCTTGTGCATGTAATTGTGCAGCTTGCATTTTAGAGGTTCATTTCACTTCTCATTTTGAGAAACCGTTGTCACCTGCTAATACCTTACAGTTAAACAGTTAAACTTCATTTTAAAGACTTGTTTGTGATGACATTTATGTAGCATAAGGTATAGACTTAAATTTTTTCTAGGCTTTGTGATCTTTATATTTAGAAACAAACTCCTGCTAGTCCAGGCTGATAACAGTAGATGTTTTTTAATCCACAGTTCCTCAACCAAAAGCAGTCCCGAGAACTTTTCTTCGTCCTAGTCCTGAAGATGAAGCAATATATGGGTATGTATTTCAGTCTCTTTTTTCCCTTTCTTCTTCCACACAGCTCTATCTCCTTAACTGAAATCCAGAAGAATGGTATTTTTACCTTCAGTTGGTGATTTTGCATATAATCAACCATCTTTAACCAAATCCTATTGCTAGTGTTTTTATGAGAAAGAGGAATCATTTGCAGGAAAAGCAAAATGTGGAAGTAGGTGAACTGTGTGATGTTAATGTTGTCAGCTTGTCCACCTATCTGGCTGCTTCTCCAGAATGTTATTCTGAATATTTGCATTTGCCAGATGTCTCTAGTGACTGCAGTGAGGTGATGATCCCAGCGTGTGGGGACAGGGAGGAGGAGTGTGGCCGTGCTCTGCATTTGATGATGAGAACCCCTGGTGCAGTTCAAGAGCACAGCCTCTTGGATTAGGGTCCAGCTTCCTTGGAACCAGGCATTGTCTTTATTTGACAAGAGCTGTGTGGTGCCAGCAGGCTTCCCTTTGTAAGAATCCCAAACTGGGAGTCGGATGACCTCGATTTTAGCCCTGACCCTGCCCTTTATCTGCTTTCTCGTCCTGAAAGAGCTGATATAAACATTCTATATATCCACTATTTCACCAGAATGTGGGCCTACTGATATTCATCTCACAGTCTCAAGGAAGATATAATTATAAAATTTATGAGAAAAATGAGAGAGAGCTTTGTAAACTATAAATCATTCTATAGAGAGAAGAAATTAAATCTCTCATTTGCTAATGTTGGTCCACCCTTTTAAAAATATCTCCCATCTTTCCTTTCTGAAACTGAACCTATTACAGCCCTAATACCAAAATGGTGAAGTTCAAGAAGGGAGACAGCGTGGGCCTCCGGTTGGCTGGTGGCAATGATGTCGGGATATTTGTCGCTGGCATTCAGGAGGGTACCTCGGCAGAGCAGGAAGGACTTCAAGAAGGAGACCAGATTCTGAAGGTGAGTGTTTTAGTCCGTTTTGTGTTGCTATAACAGTACCTGAGACTGGGTAATTTATAAGGAAAAGAGGTTTATTTGGCTTACGATTCTGGGACAGCTGCATCTGGCGTGGGCCTCAGGCTGCTTCTACTCATGGTGGAAAAGCTGCAGGCAGCCGGCGGGTACAAGCAGATCACATGGCGACAGGAAGCAAGAGAGTGAAGCAAGAGGAGGTGCCAGGGTCTTTTTTAGCAACGAGCTCTCGTGGGAACTAATAGAACCACAACTCACTCATTAATCCCGCCTCCCCCAGGGAGAGCATTAATCCATTCATGAGGGATCTGCCCCCATGACTCAATCAGTTTCCAACACTGCCACACTGGGGATCAAATTTCCACATCAGTTTTGGAGGGGACAACACATCCAGACTCCATCAGTGAGGAAAACTCAGCTCTGCTTCTAGAAGCTAGCTGAAAGAGTAGGCTTCTCGGTGTTCTTCCATAAAGGGGCGAAGGTGGTCCAGCTTGTGAAAGTAGTGAGCTGCAGCTTCGTTGATGCCCAGCATTCAGGTCACTGTGTTCCTTGAATGGGTCCTGTCTTCTCAGTCCTGGAGTCCAAAACTCATTCCTATGGTCTATGGGAATTTATATATATTTAAATATATATACTTACATTATTTAAAACCATTATATAATTTATATATATTTAAAACATATATAATTTTTATATATTTAAAACTTTTGCCAAGATTTGTATTAGTTTGGTAGAGAGAGAGAGAGGAGAGAGGGGAGGGGAGGGGAGGGGAAAAGAGGAGAGAAAGGAAAGAAAGACTAAGGGCCTATGAGGAAGATCTTTCAAAAGATCTTGCTAATTTTGGGTTTTTCGTTGTGTTCCCCCTGCCTAGTTTCACTCTTAAGGCCGTACTCTGTAATTGAGCAAAGATGGGTGTTGACATCAGACCGTGTGATTTGAATCCTGTCCCAGCCTCTCATTAGTTCTGAGACCCTGGCTCACCCTGTGACTCGGGTTTCTGTATCTGCTCAATGGGGTTGAGAATACCTGCCTCGCAGGGACCCTGGGAAGATGAGAATAGATAACACGCATAAGGCATCTAGCAGAGGTCGTGGTACAGAGTAGGAAGGTCAATGTCCGTTCCCCCTCCCCCACTGGACGATAACAGATACCTGCCACTCAATATGTTATTTACCTCTAAAACTGTACAGGAACAAGAATTCCTCGTTAATCAAAAATGAGGGTACTTCATAAAGTTTATGGAAAGATTGTATTAGCTTTTAATTCTATTTTTCCATGAACTGTTTGAAGTGCTCTTGCATTGTTACTTTTAAAGTTACTATATATTTGTATAATCTATTGATGTTAAAGAATTAAAAAATAACTGCCATTTTATGCGATACGTATAATGCATTTTTTATTGACTTCAGAATAAACGTTAAGAACATCAAGTACCTTGTTATAAAAATATAGAATGCTAGGGAACTGTCTTTATTGGAATTTCTGCTTCTATAAACTTGCAGTTCTTATAGATGAATTCTTTTTGTTAGCTTTAGTGGAAAATCCATATATAAAAAAAACTAGGGGGTCTGGGAAGAGTTTCTAGGCTCAAAGAGGGGAGAAAAAAGAATTCCCAAGGCAGCAGCAGCAAAGTACAAAAACAAGTGGTCCTCTTTCTTCTTGGCATTTGGCCCTGTTGCAGTAGTTCAGATTTCACTTCTAGAGCGGATGAAGGGCAAACCTTGATCATGAGCTTTGCTAAAGCTTTCCAATGAAATTCTAGACCCTCCTTGGCTCTGATAGGATCCTAGAAGACTTAGTGTACTTGAGTAAACCTCGTGGTACTACATGATCCTAAGAAACACCACTCACCAAATGCTACTGATAAAAATCCCATCCGAGTGCCAGCACATACCAATTTACTCTTGGCAAATATGCTAAAGTAGAAAAAGCATATTTCATAACTAGTATGAGGCCGTAGGTTGTTAGCTAGGAAGTCAGAGCTTTTGTGAGTTCAAGGATAAACTATTTTTGTACCATCGAGGAAAAAGATGTTCTAAATTTCCATGAAGTAGTGAATTCACCTAGGGACTCTACAGTCCGACCTCTCTCTCTGTAAATCATTGTTAAAGACCGGAGAGTTACTTCAGTGGGTGAAAAGTCATGGTACTCAACATTTATATCTAAAGAGATGTTTTATTTCCTGTTATCACCCTGGCATCAAGGACAAAACTTCTTTTGTGGGTACTGGCTTCTTTTGCGGTAATCCCATGTGGAGGTCAGGCAGTAGGTGGTCCTGTTACTTAGGTGTGAATAAATTTTCTATTGACTACAGAAGGAGCCCTCTGTTCCACAAAGGGGTGAAAGAGATTGGGTTCACATACGGGACATAGAAGCTGCTACACAATCGTAAGCTGTAGCTGATACGGAATCCTCTTCAGGCTCACAGCAGACGCAGCTAGACCCTGTGGACTACTAAATAGCTAATGAAAGAGGATATTTATTGGAAAGGAATGTACAATCTAACCTTCAAGTATGAAAATGTTGTCCTGGCCTTTTTCACTGCGACTTGTTTCAGTGTTCCTTTTCCTGGACAAATGGAATATATGACGTGAACATACACTAATCACTATTTTGTGTTGCTGGTTTTTAAGTGTGGCTCTTCGTTTTGAAAAGGTGATAGACTAATGTGTGAAATGAAATCATGTGGTGCTGTTCCATAGCGGGATATGGGGGCTTATCAATAACAGAAATGCATGTGCTTTTATTTATTCCTGCTTGCCCTGACTATCTCTTTGCTTATTATTTATCTGGTAGGGTTGTCATTTCTCTTTCAGAAACTTTTCTGAGATGTTTGTATGTTCCCAGAAATGTATCCATTTCCTCCACGTTTTCAAATTTCTTGGTGTATAGTTTATAATAGTCTGTAATGATTCTTTGTATTTCTGTGATGTTGGTTGTAATGTCTCCTTTTTCATTTCTGACTTTTGCTATTTGGGTCTTCTCTCTTTTTTTAGTTGGTTTAGCCAGTGGTTTGTCTGTTTATCTTCTCAAAAAACTAAGTTTTTGTTTAATTCATCTTTTGTATTGTTTTTTGTGTTTCTATTTCATTTTGTTCTGCTCTGATCTTAATTATTTCTGTCTACTAATTTTGGGGTTGGATTGTTCTTGTTTTTCTAGTTTGTGGAGCATTAGGTTGTTTATTTGAAATCTTATTTGAAATCTTTCTATTCTTTTAATGTAAGCATTTATTGTAATAATATTTTATTAAATAAACTTGCTTTTGCCATACTAAGAGGATCAGGAAAGTATGGTATACTCACTTTGGAATAGTAAAAAAAAAAAAAATGAAATTCTACCATTCACAGCAACATGGTTGAACTTAGAGAAAATTATGTTAAGTGAGATGAGCCAGGTACAGAAAGAGAAGTACTGCATGTCCTCACTCATGAGTGGGAATTTAAAAAAATAAGCAAAGAAAAAAAGATACAACAATCACAGTAGTTCATTAAACTTTCAGAAGGAAAGAACAGAACTTAGGCTACCAAAGGTTGGGGGATATTGAGAAATTAGTAAAGGGCCACAAGAAATGATTACATTGTGTGATGTTAAATATACTAAGTATCCTAATTTGAGCATCACATAATGTCACAGGTATCAATATTCAGTGCTGTACCCCACAGATATGTACAATCAGCTATGTTTCTAAAATAAAATAATATATATATATATATAAAAAGCCAGGCCTAGAAAGAGAAGTACTGCATGTACTCATAAGTGGGAGCTAAAAAAGAAAGAAAAGAAATAACACAATAACACACTGAACTTTCAGGAGAGAAGAGAACTGTGGTTACTAGAGTTGGGAAAGGGGGATGAGGGGGTTAAGGAGAAATTGGTTAATGGACACAAGGAATGATCATGTTTTGTAATGATGAACATGCTAATTATCCTGATTTGATCACCACACATTGTACACAGGTATACATATTCAACTCTCTACCCCACAAATGTGTATAGTCAATTATGTTTCAATAGAAAAAAATAAACCATAAAAACAAAACAGACAAACAAAAAACAAAGTTTGTATTCAAAGGAAAAAAAGAAACTTTTATGGGATGAAAAGGAGGGGGGACTTCCTGAGTGTGATTGTTAACCATGTGGATTTTTAAAATGTAGCTACATGTATGCTTTAATTTTGACCAGTCTAGTATTGGACTTGATGGAAGCTGAGTCTCACATGGCCATAGAAATGGACAGAGGGACTTCCAGAGTCCTCCCCCCAGCCCTGTGGCCCTGTCTTATTTGAATAAGTACATATAAGCATATACAGCACATATAAGAACATATATATGGCCATATACAGATACAAGTGGCACAAGATGGGATCCAACACCAAAGTGCGGTGATCCCTGATTGGGGGACAAGAAGTGGGAATGACAGTACCTTAAATAATAAATGTTGTTACAAAGGAAGAGTTAACTTGATTTCTTTACCAAATCACTTTATTGTAAAAGCACCAAATAAGTTTTAGTTTAATGTCTTGATATGGATTGAATTGTGTCCCCCAAGTTTTAAGTCATTGAAGCTTAAATCCCCATTGTAACTTTGAGGGAGGGAAATCCTATAATGGTAATTGAAAGGTGGGACCTTGAAGAGATTTAGATTCTGAGGATGATGCCTAGTGAACAGGTTAATAATGGTGGTCAGGGGCGTGGTTCTGAGGGCTTTAAAAGGAGAGCACGTGAGAGTCAGTCTCTCTCTGCTTCTACCATCTTGCAATGTGATACCCTGTGTCACTGAAGCCACCACCAAGGAAGACCCTCACCAGATGTGTTCCCTGGACTTTGGACTTCCCAGCCTTCAAAACTATAAACAATAAATATTGTTTCTTTATAAATTACCTAGTTCCAGATATTTTGTTATAAGCAACAGAAATGGACTATAATTAAATTATTTTTGCATTTTACTTATAATTATTCTTTTAAAAATAGTTTTAAAGGTACAGAACTGTGATTTAAAATGCCCTTTGCTTTGTGCCACATTTCAATTTTACTTGCTTTCTAATTACTCTTCCAAAAGCTATTTACAGTATCCTCTATTCAATCATTACGTAATAAATGTGAGCTCTTGGCCAGAAATAAGTGTGGGCCAGAAGCTTAAATATATACAGCTATGCATTAGACTAATGGTCTGCATATATAGCAAATGCTCTTCAATTTCATAAACACCTTTCAATTTCATAAACACATGTTTAATACCTTTTAGATGATAGAAGCTATCAGAGAAAGGTGAAATCAGTCAGAATCCTTATTTGCAGACTTTCATTTGAACCAATTTAAAAAGCATGAATGCTGGGCCAGCATGCTCGTTTGCCGCAGTCCCTACCACTCCCTTTTGCATTGTAATTACCTGTTTCATACTTACACATTACCTCTCTGGCCACCTTTATAGGAGACTCAAAGAAAAGAGGGAGGCAGACATAACCATAGAAATTCTAATCTGATCTGGTAACAAATCCTTGATTCAACAGCTTATCCCTAAGGGATGGTTGGCACTGTGGGGAGGCAGGAGGTTATAGTGATGCCCACACAGCCCAGGCCCATAGCAAAGTGTTGGGAGGGCTTGAGTGGAGACACTTAGGACTTCTTTTCATCCTAGTTTTGCTCTGGGCAGACCCTGATGAAAACAAGAAGCTTAGGTGGCACCTTACTATAAACTTCTTGTGTTTTGTTTTTGTTTTTGTTTTTCTGTTTTTCCTTCCTATCAGGTGAACACACAGGATTTCAGAGGGCTGGTTCGGGAGGACGCTGTTCTCTACCTATTAGAAATCCCCAAAGGTGAAATGGTGACCATTTTAGCTCAAAGCCGAGCCGATGGTAAGTTTGGTCATTTAGTTTAGTTTGGGGGAAGGATAAGAGAGGTGTCTTGGGACCAGAATAGGCAAATCTTGGTATTAATAAATTGAAGTGGATCTTGACACCTAATCCTTGAGTCATAGGTTTGTTGAGAAAATGTGGGTGCCTTTTAACTTTCTGTAAAAGTGTTTTTTATGTATCCACTGAAATAATTTCACTAGTTGTTTCTGTTTGGAATAAAAGTGCTTTTCTATTGATTGATTTAAATTGACACATTGTAATTGTACATGCCTATGGGGTGCAGTCTGATGTTTTGATACATATATATGTTATATAATAATTGGGTAAGGGTCGTAAATGTAACTGTCACCTCATGCGTTTGTCATTTCTTTGTGGCAAAAACATTCAAAAGCTTCTCTTAGCTACTATAATATACAAAATTTAACTGTTAACCATAGTCACCCTACTGTGCGATAGACATTAGAATTTATTCCTCCTGTCTAATTGTAATTTTGTACCCATTGGCCAACCCCTTACTGTTTTCCTTTCTCTTCTCCCCTCCCCAGTCTCTAATAACCATTGTTCTGCTCTCTGTCTCTATAATATCAACTTTTTTTCCCCTTATTTTGAAGATTGCACATATGAGTGAGATTGGTATTTGTCTTTCTGTGCCTGGTCTACTTCACTTAACATAATGACCTCCAAGTCTATCCATGTAGTTGAAAATGACAGGATTTTATTCTTGTTTATGGCTGAATAGTATTCCATTGTGTATATATACCATTACTTTTTGTTTTATCCATTCATCCAGTGTTGGACACTTAGGTTGATTCCATATCTTGGCTATTGTAAATTGTGCTACAGTAAACATGGGAGTGCAGATATCTCTTTGACATACTGACTTCATTTCCCATATACCCAGTAGGGAGATTGCTGGATGATGTGGTAGTTCTGTTTTTAAATTTTTGAGGAACCTCCATACTGTTTTCCATAATGGCTGTTTTAGTTTACACTCCCACCAACAGTGTATGAGGTTTCCCTTTTCTCCACATCCTCACCAACACTAGTTGTCTTTTGTCTTTTTGATAATAGCCATTCTAACTGGGGTGAGGTGATATCTCACTGTTGTTTTGATTTGCATTTCCCTGATTAGTGATGTTGAGCATTTTTTCATATGTCTGTTGGCCATTTGTATGTCTTCCTTTGAGAAATGTCTATCAAGATCCTTCGCCCATTTCTCAATTGGGTTATTCATTTTATGTTCCTTATATATTTGTGATATTAGCCCCTTATCAGATGTATAGTTTGCACATATTTTCTCCCATTCTGTGGATTGTCTCTTCACTCTTTTAACAGTGTCCTTTGTGTAAAAGCTTTTTAGTTTGGTGTAATCCCACTTGTCTGTTTTTCCTTTAATTGCTTGTGCTCTTGAAGTCTTATTTTAAAAATAACTTGCCCAACCCCATGTTGTGGATCATTTTCCCTAAGTTTTCTTCTAGTAGTTTCATAGTTTCAGGTTTTATATTTAAATCTTTAATCCATTTTGAGTTGATTTTTGTATATGGTGAGAGGTAGGGGTATAGTCTCATTCTTCTGCACGTGGATATCCAGTTTTCCCATCTCCGTTTACTGAATAGACTGTCTTTTCCCTAATATGTATTCTTGGCACCTTTGTCAATGGTCAGTTTTCTGTAGGTGCATGAATTTATTTCTGAGCCTTCTATTGTTTCATTGGTCCAAGTGTCTGTTTTAATGCCAGTACCATGCAGTTTTGATTACTGTAGCTTTGTAGTATAATTTGAAGTCAGGTAGTGTGATACTTCCAGCTTTGTTTTTCTCAGGATTTCTTTGGGTATTCGGGGTCTTTTTTTGGTTCCATATGAATTTAGGATTGTTTTTACTATTTCAGTGAAGAATGCCATTGGTATTTTGATAGGTGTTGCATTATATCTGTAGATTGCTTTGTTGTTCTATTCAAACCTTCAACTGATTGGATGAGATCCACCCACATTAGTAAGGCAATCTGCTTTGTTTGGTCTACCCATTTAAAAGTTAATCTCATCCAAAAATACTCTCATAGAAACACCTAGAATAATATTTGACCAAACATCTGGACACCCCATGGCCCAGTCAAGATGACACATAAAATTAACCATTGCAGCAACTCATAAAGTTCATTATTCATCCTTCTTCCTGTTGGGGCTGTGCTTCTCATAGAGCCTGTGCACTGAGTTCATGGATGGAGAGATGGTAAGGGGCGATCAGAGGTAGAAGCTGATAACTCAAGAAAAGGTCTTTAGCTAAATCAAATTCAGCAAACAATGCTTTTGTCTTTCAGTGTATCGAGACATACTGGCTTGTGGCAGAGGGGATTCATTTTTTATAAGAAGCCACTTTGAATGTGAGAAGGAAACTCCACAGAGCCTGGCCTTTACCAGGGGGGAGGTCTTCCGAGTAGTGGACACACTGTATGATGGCAAGCTGGGCCACTGGCTGGCTGTGCGGATTGGAAATGAATTGGAGAAAGGCTTAATTCCTAACAAAAGCAGGTATCTGAGATCATACATGCCCATACACCCCTCTTGACCACTCCCCCCATCAAAAAAAACCCCAACAGAATCCCCCAAAAGGAAACCCCATGTGACTTCATGATTTGTCATGATCTACATCTTGTTTATGGGAAGTGGCCTGGATCTGTAAATAGTACCAGCCGATTTGCTGTGTTTAGTATCACATGATTGATTGTTGCTCTTGGCTGCTTGAATGGTTTCTTAAGGAGTGTCTAGTGCCTTGCATTCCTAGGGGAGACACTGAGCAGCGGTAGCACCCAGCCACCTCTTAGAGACAAGTCACCCAGCTGGTGCCCAGTCCTCATCCTAGAGCAAGGCTTATGCATCCCAGTGAGCACTTGCTGGTAGGATGACAGTGTGGGAACCTAGAAAAGGTACCTGTATTTTAGCAGGAGTTCCAGGTGTGTTTACTGTATACCTGTGTACCAGAATGAGCCAAATTTAGCATATTTAGTACTAAGTTTCTTGGGGTGGATTTTATAGACCCAGCCTTTTTCTGCCTCCATTTGCAAGCAAAGGTCCTCATATTTCCCACCCTGTGAAACATCTTCATTGACAAGCTGAATCTTCCCTAATCTAAGTTCGTAAGTAAATCAACTAGATTTAGTTAATGACATGCACATTTGCCACGTTTTCTGGCTCTAGAGATTGACTTCCCATGGTTTCTTCTCTCAGAGCTGAACAAATGGCCAGTGTTCAGAATGCCCAGAGAGACAACGCTGGGGATAGGGCAGATTTCTGGAGAATGCGTGGCCAGAGATCCGGGGTGAAGAAGAACCTGAGGAAGAGTCGGGAAGACCTAACTGCTGTCGTGTCTGTCAGCACCAAGTTCCCAGCTTACGAGAGGGTTTTGCTACGAGAAGGTGAGGAAGCCACCTAGGGCCAGGAAGTGATCTGACTGGGCTCTGAGCCTGTTTTCCTTTATTTTCAGACTGTAATGGTCAAGTTCTAACTTATCTGCATCATTTAGGCCAAAGGCTTGTTACAGAGTTGGAATCATATTCTAACAAGGAGCATGATTTATGACAAGTGAGCTGTTCAAACTCCTAAATGGAGGCATATTTCTACAACCTAAAAAAAAAATTTTTCAATATTACTACTCAAAACGTTCTATATATTTCCCATAGTAAAATTTATCTTTAAAAAATGGTGAGGGTAGTAAAGGCATATGCTTCAGAAGAGAGCTGGGCTGAGTTGGGGATAGAAGAGCACACATTTTCTTTTATTTAGTCATGTTCTTATTAAAAGCCTGTATAATTCCTTTGCTTCTTAGTCTTAATAGCTAAACAAGTCTATGTGTTTTAATGGCCTTCCTCATCTCATTTCAGCTGGTTTCAAGAGACCTGTGGTCTTATTCGGTCCCATAGCAGATATAGCAATGGAAACCTTGGCAAAGGAGTTACCTGACTTGTTTCAAACTGCTAGTAAGTCTGTCAGTGATTTTTTTTCTCCCCAAATTTTTATTTTGAAATATTTCTAACGTACAGAGAAGTTGAAAGAACAGTGAACATCCAGATTCCCTTCAACTGGAGTCACTGGTTGTTATTTTACCATGTACACTTTCTGTCCCCACCCCCTGCCTATAGACACACACACACACACACACACACACACACACACACACACACACACTCTTTTAGAATTTTTGCTGAACGATTTGAAAGTTTAAGTTGCAGACAGTATAACACTTTACCCCTGAATGTTTCTGTGAATCTCCTAAGAACAAGGACATTCTCCTGCACAGCCACAATACCATTATCTCAGTGAAGAAATTTAATATGGATACAATAACATTTTCTAGTATATACTTCATTTTTCAAATTTCCTCAATTGTCCCAATTATGTCCTTCATAACTTTTTAAAAATAATTCAGGATACCACCATTACATTTTATTTTTGTCATTTTATGATTTTTATGTCTTTTTAGTCCCCTCCTTTTTTCTAAATTATTTTGTGACATTTACATTTTGGAACATCCAAACCAGTTGCCTCATAGAATATTCCTGATGGACTGGCATAACCGTTTCTTCATGTTTACATTTCAGTTAAACAAATAATGTGGGTCCTTCCCACCATATTTCATTAGGAGGCACCTAATGTCAGGTGTCCCGTCATTGCTGATGCTAGGTCCGGAGCATTCGGTTGTCACTGATTTCTAAAAAATTATTTAGTCCATTTTTTGTTTTTACAGAAACAGAACCAAAAGATGCAGGATCTGAGAAATCCAGTGGAGTAGTTCGGTTAAACACCGTGAGACAAATTATTGAGCAGGTGAGAAAGTTCATCTGAAGGCCATGTTGTCAGAAGGACTTGGATCATGGTGTGCTGTAGTCTGTTTTAGAATAAACTCTGTATTTTAATAATCATTAAATGTTAGTGATAAAAAATTAATGTAAAGGCAAGTGATTTTACTGTGTGGAAACCAGTCACTGTTCTGTAGCAATAATGTTTTGGTTTTTTTCAGAGTACTTACTCAGCATTGTACTAAATAGCCTGTTAATTCATTTTACCAGAAGTTCTAGCAGATTGATATTAAACTGGATGTAATGTGGAAGGAAATGTTTTCTGCTTTTTGGTTTAAATTTATAAGTTTTATCCTATACCGCCTTTACACTTACTTAAACAAACTTCTTGATGCTGTATTACTTTACACACTCATTTATGTGGCTTTTCCCCATCTGTAACAGGATAAGCATGCGCTACTGGATGTGACTCCAAAAGCTGTGGACCTGTTGAATTATACCCAGTGGTTCCCAATTGTGATTTTTTTCAACCCAGACTCTAGACAAGGTGTCAAAACCATGAGACAGAGGTTGAGTCCAACATCCAGCAAAAGTTCTCGAAAGTTATTTGATCAAGCCAACAAGCTGAAAAAAACATGTGCACATCTTTTTACAGGTAAGTGAAATTTAAAGTGTAGTCTCTGCGCAGAAGTGAGAAGTAAAGAATTGAAAAATGGAAGAAATAAGAAAATCTGAATAGAGAATTTGAAATCCTGTTCATGATTCCTTGAAAAATAGTCCTATAAAAGAGGTACAGTAGACCCATGGCATTTGTATATAGAACTTTGCGATTTATACTGTTTGGAAATGATCATAAAGATCCATGATGCAATAATCAGTCATTTTGATGAGGTCCAGATTTTTGTGTGGGACTGCAAGACTGGGGATTGAACTTGGCTCCCACCCAGCGCCCATGTCTCTCTGTAGATGGTGTCATTGTTCTCTCATTACCATCAGTGCACACACTAACTTACAGAGTGAGAGGAACTTGGTTTCATTATTAAAAAATGTCCCTACAAGAAACCTGAACATTTTGGATATTGGATGATTTAAGGATTTATTACCTCTATTTTTTAGATGTGATAATAATATTGTGATTATGTTAACTTAAAAAAAAAAGGGTCCTTTAGGGAAATATGAGGGTACTTCAAAAATTTCATGGAAGGATTTGTATTCTTTTTCAATTCTATTTTTCCACAAACTTTTTTGACGCACCCTCAAATACTAAATAAAATATTTATGAATGACCTAATATGATGCCTGTAATTTGCCTAAATAATCTGCAGTAAGAGGAGTGGTTGGGGTATAGATAAGACAAGACTGACCAGGAGTAGGTAGTTGTTGAAGCTGGTTGATGTGTTCATGGGAGTTCATTAAACGATTTTCTCTACTTTTGTATGTGTTTAAAGTTTTCCATAATGGAATACTTTTTAAAGTCCCTGAAGTGAAGACCCATTGCTACTTACTATTACTTAAAGTAAAATGGTCTAACGATGTGACATATTTTAGCAACTGAATATATGCACTACCTGTATAAATGACTATTGAATTCTATGAATATGGCATATTTAAGAGTTTAAAAGGGTTACATAAATTTAGGTCATGCAATGCTTTATTTTGTGGGAATGCTGTAAAGAGACTGCATGGATATAATATCCTCAGGATAATGATAGCTCTTCTGAGTTCAGTGCCTGTCCTCATCAACCTGTGGCATTTTGAGCATGTCTCTGATAAGGGGGTGAAAGGTGGGTGAATGAACTTGTGTCCATTCCACTCTTGTTTTACTGTCACTTGGCTTTTCTTGTTAAAGAGAGATGCATTACTTACCACTATGGCTGAATGGTGTAACTGATAGTTTAACCAAGTGCTGAGGAGGAAATGATCCATCATCGACTAGATTTCTGTGAATGTAGAGTCTTAAGCACTTGTGCCTTCATTCATGCGTATCTTTTCTGTCATCGTCTTCTCGTTGTTATTACTGTTTGTTACCTTTGCAACAGTGAACAGTGCTGTCTTCCTAGGCCACAAGAAAGGCCCAGCGACTTCTGCATAGTCAAAGATGTAGCGTGTGGCTGAGCCCAAACCGAAACTGAGCTTTCTCTGACTGTGTGCACAGTACTGTATGTACGTTACAGCACAGACATTTTATTCTAATGCCAAAGGGGGTCATATACACAGTTCCTCCGTTTAACAGATGAGAAAACTGGGGCCCACAAGATTGTGAATGATGTCAAACCCATCCCCACTTCCTCTTTCCCCCTTGCCTTTGTTAAAGTCCACTGAATGGCCAGAGGGTCAAATTCGGGGTTCCTGTGAGGATGCGAGAAATCAGGAAAAGAGGGGGCTGGCTGGTTAGCTCAGAGGGTTAGAGCATTACCTTGTAACACCAAGGTCAAGGGTTTAGATCCTAGTACCAGCCAGCCACCCCACCGCCCGCCGACCCCAAAAATCAGAAATCAGGAAGGGAAATAATGGGTTGTGGAGGAAGAACCAGGTAGAAGGAGGCTGGACAAGAAGGGGGAGCTGGGCAGAAGGAGGTAGCCAGTTACTGTGGGGCACTCCCTTTATCTAGCATTGAGTCGGCATCATCTGCCCTTGGGAGCACAGGCCACAGTAGCTGGCTGAGGCTGAGGATCTGGGGGGCCCATGTGTGTAGAGGCAACTCCTCATTAAGCTTCACTGATAGATTCCAAGATCCTTAAAGGCAAAGACTTGTTCGGTCTCTGGCTCTGTGCGGCAAATAGGTGGCATAAATTTCATAACCTACGTTAGAATTACCTCTGGCACACCAAGACATTTCTTGCCTAAACTAATCAGGAAGTTGAAAGTTTTAGAATAAAGTCAGAGGTTGGGATGGAAACTCACATTGTGAGCATTGAGTTTCATCTAGAATTTTGAAGTGACCCTGTCTCTGGTGAGATAGATTGCCAATCTTTTACATAGAATTACGCAGTCTTCAAAATAGATGGTGCAGGGTGCTGAACAGCTTTGACCAACAAGCCCCAGTTTTCTTCCAAATGGTCTTTTACATTTTCTTCCAAACTTCTATGTTTGACTTTTCAAAGCGGCACAGACGGCCTGGCTAGGCACTTTTATTCCCAACCCCCGCCCCACTCAGCTTGACCAGGCTGTGACTTGATGGTGTGTGGATGGCCAGAAACACTAGATTTCAAACTGGAGCAGCAGAACTTGTAGACAGAATTCATATTTTTTAAGTTTTTAAAAATGATTTTAAAGTTACAGCATTTTACGAATTAATAATTGAGAATAATAGAGCTTCTTTGATGAACACAATAATTTGAAGTCAAGCTTTATGTCACAGGTAGTCTTAATAGGATGAATATCATTTTTATTTTTTCCTTTTTGCACAGAAATTTTTAAAACCCTGTTTATCACAGGCACGTATTTAATTATGACAATATTAAAATGGCTCCCCTTACAGTCTTGAAGTATGTCTCAGTTGAACAAAAGAAGCTTTATTCTGAGATTTGCCCAAAAGCTAGTTGACTTGTCAAAGTAAGTTAAAGTGGTAGGCTTGCCTTCCCCACCCCTGCCAATTTTTAAAAATTGAGTATAAAAATACATTTGCATGTATATATCACAAGAATATTTTTTAAAATGAAGTTTGAATTACATGTTTTCTTGGAACCTTTGAAACACTTATTTCATGGTTTGAAAACCACTGAAGTAGAATTATAGATTTAGAGACCCAAGTGGGGCCACCCTAAATTGTGGGATTTTAAAGCACCATGGGATATTCTAGCCCTCTTATCAGTTTTCCAGGCTTCATTGAAGTGAAATTTGTACAGTTTGGTCCTGGGACTTCAGAGGAACTGAACAAATGCTACTGATTATTAGTAGTGATATTACTTTATGCTTATTTTATTATCTTTCAGTGTTAACATGCTGTAAAAAATTTTTCTTTGTCATTATTTTCTTTGTCACTAGTCTGTGAAAAAGGTTGTGGGAAAAGTGAACCTTGTACCAGCTAAAAAAAAGACCAAACTACAGGAGGGGCTTCTTGGTTTCTCAGGGAGTGCAGTGAGTCTGTTGACCACAGGAAGCAGGGACAATGCTGTACTCCCTAGTTGGACACCTTGGCTGTCACTAGCCCATTTAGAGAAGCTCTGGTACTTGAGTGTTGACCCAGCCATGCAAATAGCTTTATTGAGATTTAATTTACATACCATATAATTCACCCATTTAAAGTATGCAATTCCGTGGTTTTCAGTATTTTCAGAGTTATGCAGCCATCACCACAGTCAATTTTAGTACATTTTCATCTTCCCCAAAAGAAACTCCATTCCCACTGTCAGTCTTTCTCCATTTCTCCCTGTCCCCATCCCCTCCAGCCTCACATGTCATATTTTGTTGTTGCTCTTGGAGCTTCCCAACCTCCTTGGCTGGGGAGAGTGACCACATACCTGCCACTGCTGGGCATGGATGCCCCCAGAATCCCAGTACTGCCAGCCAAAGCAGTGGCTGAGTGAGGATGCTTTTGGTATCTCACTTTTTCCAGCTCGAAAGAAATATTAAGCCTATTCAAAGGGACATAGGCCAAGCCCAGAAGTTGGGAGCAACAGGTAGTTAACTAATATTGCTCAGTCAAAGAATCTGAAAGCCTAATGAGCAAAGCCAACAGTAAGTCAAAGGTCCTTGATTCAGAGTCAAGTGAAGGCACTACTGTGGCTGTGCACCTACCTATTAAAAGGTCAAGAGCATGAATTGGATGTTACCTTCATAAGGGGCTTAGGAAGTTAGCTGCTGTGAAGCTCTTATTTTTTGTTTATATTCTTGACTGTTCATGTGAACTCAGTAAGAGGTTCTGTGACTTTCTTCATTTTATCAGGGGGCATGAACATATTTTCTGCATTTCATAAGTGAATCTTTTGACTTTAGATTTTCTTTATGGTGAATATAGACTGCACTGATCTCAGACAACTCCAACATAAAGCCTTAAAATACCACTTAATGTTCAATACACATTTAGTGCAGATCACTTATTTTGTCTCTGGGGTGTACAGTCTCACGTCTGTATTTAAGTACTATGGTATTATGTTTTAGCTACAAGCACAATAATCTTTACAACGTTATCATGATAAGGATACAAAAATTCATGGAATCAAGGTTAATTTTCCTCGGGTTGTCTAATGTATCAGTTTATTCCAGTGCTGTAAATAATTAATAACTGAGGAAACTAAGCTCATTCGGTACTTTTGAAGGTCAGCGTTAAAACTTTTTTTTTTTTTATTGGTTATACATATTTATGGGGGCAAGAGCTGACTGTCAGCACCTGTGCCCACGTCGTGGTGAGTAAATTAATGCCATCAGTATGCCCACCACCTCAAATTGCATTTGTTTCCTGTGTCCTCCACCCAGCCTCTCCCCAATGCTCCTCTCCCGGAACATCTTAAGTGAAGAAAGCTATGTTACTAGGAAGAAAACTTGAAGCATAGTTGCTTACAAAATTTGCTTAATGGTTCTTTTTGGCTTTTGAAGTGATAGACACAATGCCACGCCCTGTGATAAAAGGCCATGACAATGTAATTTAAAAGAAATCCTAATTTACCTGATATTAGTCTGATAATTAGTCTGATAATTTTAGGCACAATTTGTTTATTTGCCTTATCCCCATTAGGTCCATAAATATATACTGCTGAAGAATGAATGCACATGCTGTGCTTTGTTGGTATTGTATATCTGTGCTCTAAATTTGTTTTTTGATGGGCTGTGTAGTGTGGAGGCTAAAGTCTCTGAAAGCAAATCTCTGCGTTGGCATCCTGGCTTCTCCACTTGCTGGTGTGAGGCCTTGAGCTAGTTACTTTCAACACTGTGCCTGGGTTTCTCATCTGTAATTTAGAGATGATAGCAATACATGGCAAGGTTTGTGTAAGCATGGAATGAGCTAATCTGTGTAAGGTACTTGAAAAGGTACATGGTCGATCCTTAGTAAAGTGCTGTTACACAAGGTATATTTTGTTCTGACTAGAAAACGTATATTCTTTGATTATACACCAGTTGAGTTTGGTTAATTTGTGTGCATAATCTAAAATGTTTAGACTATCAAAATGACATACATTTAAGTGTTACCTTTAGTATTTTATTGGAGGTAGCCAACAGTATATTAGTGTACATTTTTGGTATTTATAATATACACATCTATGTAAATGATTTTTAAAATATGGCACTTTTATATTTGTTTTAGATGTGTTATCTTTACTACTGAAAACATGCTTTTTAAAGACTTTTTTAAAAGTTAGCTTTTCTGAAAATGGCATTCTGAAAATTAACCTGTTTTTTTGCTTTATAACATCTGTGTAATGTAAACTCAAACAGCTAGACAGTAAATAGTTTCAATTGTATTCAACTAAAGGAATTTAATATTCAAATACATGCAGGCTTTTTCTTGCATTTTCCAGTATTTTAATTCAAATATGACACCAACAAATATAAATGATGTCAAATAGCATGCTTTATAAACATCACTCTAGAAGCTAATGCAAACATTTTTGTTTATATTTCTATAGCCACGATCAACCTAAATTCTGCCAATGACAGCTGGTTTGGCAGCTTGAAGGACACCATTAAACATCAGCAAGGAGAAGCAGTTTGGGTCTCTGAAGGAAAGGTATGTGGCCTAGATATGCTGCTGTGAGGTGAGAGTCCTGCTCTGCATCTTTTCTGAAGGGGGCAGTGAATGTAGTGAAGCCATGCCCACTTGAAGGGACTGCAACACGCATGCTAACTGAGTTTGAAACTTTATAAATTCTCTAACAAAGTAGTGAGACAAAAGGACTTCTAAAAGAGGAGCAGAATGTGACATGTGTAGCCCTACATTCACTTCCCTTTTACTTTTAACATAGTAACTAGTGTCGTATTCCAAGTACACTAATCAGAGCTTACAAGACCTTGTGCTGAGCTCCACAGCTTATTAAGGACATGGGAAACTTAGAGTGGAGAGGAGAGGCAAGGAACGTGGAGAATATGGTTAAAAATTAATACAAAGAAGAAAAGCTAACAGAATGAATGATTTGTTTTGAAAAGAGGTTGACAGAGACTGTGCCATAGTTCTCAGGGTTTGGCCCTGTGATACAAGAGCGTCAGGGAACTTGTGTGGGCCTCTAAAATCAGATGGCTTCTCATCTGTGGAAATGGTTTATGCATGACAGTGCTTCAGGGAGAAAGGGGAGAGTTTACGTAAGCTGTGATCTCTTTCATTCAAGGAGCCTTTCATGCTAGTGTCCTGTCCCTCCGCTGAATGGAGGTAGTTGGTGAGACGTTACAGTGTCAATCTGATCGCAGAGTTGACTGAGTCTTGCTCTTTGGGAACTGGATGTCCGGTAGGGTATCTAGCATCTACAGAGTGCTCAAGCTCTGTGAGCATGTGTGCCAGTCTCCCCGGAGAGGACAAGCTGAACAGGCCGTAGCTCCTGCCCTGGAGCGCTGGAGAATCTTGTAGAGGAGTGGAAGTGTGTGCACTTAGGACAGGAGACGGGTACCAGGAGAAAGGCTGGAGAGGAGCCTGGTTGTGGAAGAAAGACATTCCAAGAGGAGTGTGGCTCTGTCACGGTACATAGGGTGGGTAGTAGCGAGGATAGGCTGGAGTGTTCCTAATTTGAGTCTTGTGCAAAAATTAACATAATATCAACATTGGACCAAAGCCAAGTGATTTCAGGAAAATAAAGCTGCCCTCCCTGTCTGGCGCGTGTCAAGGTTTTAGTCACTTCACTGTACCCTTGGGAATTTTCTTGAGTCCGCACTTCCAGGAGCCGTGTCAGACCCCACTGACCCTCCAAAACAAATTCCTCTAGATGGAAGGTATGGATGATGACCCCGAAGACCGCATGTCCTACTTAACCGCCATGGGCGCAGACTATCTGAGTTGCGACAGCCGCCTCATCAGTGACTTTGAAGACACGGATGGCGAAGGAGGTGCCTACACTGACAATGAGCTGGATGAGCCAGCCGAGGAGCCGCTGGTGTCTTCCATCACCCGCTCCTCGGAGCCGGTGCCGCAGGAGGAGGTGAGGCAAGGCAGGCCACGGGCTGCAAGGCCACAGGCAGGAAAAGGAGATCCTGGTGTTCCACTTTCATTCTTTTGGACAACTGTTCATTCAGGGTGCTGTGGAAGGTATTCCTCAGGGGTGGAGCAGATGATTTGTAGGGAGTCTCACTGTGATTCCATGCCTTTGTGATGGTGGCTGCGGTCCATGAGAAAGTGGGACGGGAACATGAGCCTTGGAAGAGGCTGAGCTGGCAGCACTGCTCATACCCAGGCATGATAGATCAGCAGTGCAGTGTTATGTGCCGGCTGTCCAAATTTCAAGTGGAACATTCCTTGTGAAATGCAGAATTGTTGTGTTTACTTGTAACCTTTGATTAGGTCTCTCTCAGAACTCTTAGGTGTCCTTGCTTTTCTTCTCCTCCCTACCTTTAACCTTTCTAATCTTGCTAGAGCTCCTGAGTGTTTCCCCATCAGTTTCCTTCTCTCTTCTATTTCAATTTTTTGATTGAGCTCATGATCAAATATTCATCTGATCACATGTACTATGCATCTAGTGATTAGACAGCTTATGGGGTCCTGGAAATCACATCAATAGGCGCTAAGTTAGGACTGGAGCAATTATTAGCTACACATCAGAGAACATTGGAATAATGATCTTTGTAGGTGAGATTATCCATGTATTTGGATAATTATTGCTGTGGATTTCTCTTCAGCAATTTAGCTCATTCCGGTGAATGATTTATTTTTTTTTTTTATGAAATAGAAGTACCAAAAAAAATAAATTAAAGGGGAAGAAAAACCCACTACCTCCACAACAAAAAAATTAGTATATTCTGCTAGACACAAAAAGAATAAATTAACTCCTGTCTATAAATATTGATGAGCTAAATGCTTAGAAATGTTAACAGTCATTAGTGATACAAGAGATTTTAGACTTTAGGAGGGTTTTGTAAAGGACTTGCACTTTAAAGGAAGAGACTGTTACACTTGATGCAGCCAGTTTTAAAAAGTGTCTTAAGCATTTGCCAATGGGAGTCTGCCTGGTATCTGCCTTTTCAGTAAAGAAGCACTGGGTCAGAACCTCAACTTCTGTGCAGAACCACAGCAAAGCAGATGAGCGCTCTCTTCTCTCTGCTCGGATGTTCTCGTTGTGAATGAACCTTTATGTCTTGTAGAGCGTAAGAAAACCCAGCCCAGAGCCACGAGCTCAGATGAAGAGGGCTGCTAGCAGAGATCAACTTAGGGACCATAGCCCACCCCCAGCATTCAAGCCAGAGCCGCCCAAGGTATGTGGCTGGGAAGCCCAGGATGGGGAGGAAGAGGAAGCCGAGGCCCCTGGATAGCCAGGGAGGAGCACGCCCAGTGAGATGGTCTTGAATTATGGTTTTGACTCACAGTGTTCTCTCTTAGAGCCTGTCTTTTGGCCTGTTGGGTGAACCCAAAATTAGGGAAGAACAAAAAGATAGGAGTGCAAGGCAGTGTTAGGAGAGCTTATAATTTTACAAATGCTAGTGTTTATTTTCTTTACTTTTTTTGTAGAATGAGTTTTATAAACGCTTCGTGTTCAGAATCACCAATCTCAAAATCTGTTTTTCCTTTTCTGTCCAATTAAAGTTTTCTGCCAACCAAAAATCCTTAGTGGTGATTTCTTAAAGAAAACCATCTCACCATTGTTTACAGTACATCTCTTTATGAGAGCAGTTTAATTTATTTAATAAATCGTATCCAGAACAGAATGAATATAAAGACACAGGGCATCTGTCATATGATTCTTTACTCTCAGTCAGAGTCAAAGCTATGGCTATAAGCTTTTCTTACATCCTAATCAATTTTCTCTATTCACTCAATAATTTAGACAAGAAAAAAGCAGTAATTGTGTGAGCTGTCAGAAGTAATTAGTGACCTCATACAGTTCAATATCTCAGTGAAGATTTGCAAGCAGGGCTAGGATTGAAGTGTGAAGGATTGGGATACACACCACCTGCACTCCCCACCCCAGGCTCGTTCCCCTCCACTGGACATGGGTCTCACCTCTGGGCCAGGGCATGTGCCCTCGGTGCATCATGACCTCCAATCACAAAGCCTGACGTTTTCAGAGGTCTTCTCCAAAATTCGAATCTCCTTTAGTACCAAGTTATTCAAGGTCTGACCTTCTTCTAGCAGCTGCAGCCCTCTCAGCACTTTCCTCCCTAGAGCTCCTGATACTGTTCTGTAGGAAGGGAGGGGGAGGACTCAGGATGCCCGACCAGCGGCTGTTGGCTCTGCCATATTAGATTCCTTGTCAGAATGACATTTGTTGATCACCTTTGGAAACTGATCAGGAAATAGAGTGTATTAAATCACTAATATAGATTTGAAAATAAATTAAAAGCCCAAGGTAATAACGTGTCATTGCTCTCTGCAGGCCAAAACCCAGAACAGAGAAGAATCCTATGACTTCTCCAGATCCTATGAATACAAATCAAACCCCTCTGCCGTTGCTGATAACGAAACTCCTGGGGCACCTACCAAGGGTTGTCCTCCTCCTGTTGCAGCAAAACCTGTCTTTGGGCGGTCGATACTGAAGCCCTCCATTCCCATCCCTCCCCCGGAGGGTGAGGAGGTAGGAGCGAGCGGTGAGGAGCCCAAATCAGTCCTGGGCAAAGTCAAAATATTTGAGAAGATGGATCACAAGGCAAGGTTACAGAGGATGCAGGAGCTCCAAGAAGCACAGAATGCAAGGGTAATTGTTTTTAAACTACTAGATGATCTTAGCGTGTCAGCAGTAAGAGTTTTAAATGAGTTTGATTTCAGTATAATGGTGCACAGTCCCTTTTCCACTGCCACAAACATGGCAGGGATGTTCACACACTGAGGCGCGTACTGTGTTTCTTCCAGATTGCCAGCTATCAGCATGTCCCTCTTTCTTCCGATCAAGAAAGCCTAAAAATAGAGGGGAATAGGACTCTTTTTTGTTTTTTGGGTTTTTTTAGTGGCTGGCAGGTAAGGGGATCTAAACCCTTGACATTTGTGTCACCAACACCGCTCTCTAACCAACTGAGCTAACAGCCAGCCCGGGAATAGGATTCTGCCCTTCATTCTTCAGAACTTTGTATCGGGTTCCGGATGGGGAAGCGTGACAAGAGAATCAGTGCCTCAGAGGTTATTTTAATTAGGGTATTCGTGATGTTTATTTGGTGACTGAGTCTTCATTTGCTCTCAGATGTGCCATAGAAACCAAGCAAACTCTTGAGTGCCAAAATGGAAAGGCCCGTAGATTGTACTTTTTGAGCTGTCTGAATTTTTGTACCATGTGCACGTATAACCTTCCAAACATCAAAGAATTTAAGTAAAGGTCTGCGGAGCATATCTGGCCCAGTAGATATGGGAGTTTTCTATTCAAGTCTGTCACAACAGCAGCAGCAGTGCTTCTGAGTGTGTAAAAACATTTTTTCTTTTATTGTGGTGAAATATGCATAACATAAAATTTACCATTTCAGCTATTTTTTAAGTGTTCAGTTTAGTGGCATTAAGTACACTTACATAGTTGTGCTCAGCTATCACCACCATCCGTCTGCAGAACTTTTTCATCCTCCCCAAGTGAAACTCTGCACCCATTAAATGCTAACTCTTCATTCTCCTCTGCCCCCAGGCATTGGCATCCACCATTCTACTTTCTGTTCCTGTAAAGTTGACGACTTAAGAACCTCAATAAGTGAAATCATACAATTGTCCTTTTGCGACTGGCTTATTAGAATAATGTCCTCAAGACTCATGCGTATTGTAGCGTGTGTCAGAGTTTCATTCCTTTCAAACATTTTTCCTATTTGGCATGTACCACCAGGCACCACACACAACCATGGATGCTAGAGAGTTGCTTCTCTTTTTCCTCTTCTCCTTGAATGGGATGGAAAAGGAATAGGGTATGGGGACAGGGTGGGACCAGCAGGAAGCCAGCAAGCAAACTGGCCAGTGGTCGTTCTTTCATTCTTTTTTTCTTAATCACCACAGATTGAGATTGCTCAAAAGCTTCCTGATATCTATGCAGTTCCAATCAAAACGCAGAAGCCAGAGCCCGGCCTGCCCCAGCATGCAAGGTAAGGGCTGCTAAGTATGTATAGCTGTAGGACTTGGACTTGAAGAGTTTTCTTTACCCAGATTTCAGAGGCAACAGGAGGATTTTTCCCCACCTGGTCAACTGTTTACCTTACTCATTCAGTCATATTTAATTGTAAAGATTGCAGAGTCAAAAATTAACGGTAATTTTGCTTGTGTGTGAACACACTCTCCAATAAAGTGTCATCATTGATATTGCACGTTGGTACCCTTTGGCACATTCGAGCGTAGTTACATTAGTGTGTGAGGATAGGTCATAAGGAAAATTCCTAGGGCTTAGACCAGTTTTGTTGCTGTTTCCTGGTTCATAGCCAAACTCTTTAATTCCTTTGTATCACCTAGCTAAGTCAGGCCACTTGTGCCTAACTCGGGGTCTGAAGAGACAAAGACAAGCAGTTGACCAGTGTTGGTAAGATGCTTTATATTTAAAATGCTGCTCAAGCCCCAGGAATTAACAGTGTCTTCCTGTTGAGGTTTTATACTGGATCATTTTCTACTTCTGAGAAGATAAAAAAGAAAAAAATCAGCTTTTCTTGACCGGAAGCTAGAGTCTAGATTTACAGCAATAGAAAACTTGAAGCAGATTTCTTCTTTACCAATTGAATGGTAACACAGGTGACCATGTTGCCTCTAGCAACAAAGGCTCCTTGGTATATTTGACTGAAATTGGCAGGAACTGGTTCTGCTGGGTGAGGCTGTAGCTGGGAGGTTGGGGGTGGGGCAGGCATGCCTGTCCAGTGGGGAATTCTTAGGTCAAGGGGCACCTGGCTGGCTTCCTCACTCACTGCCCAAGTGAGCATTGGCCTTGATCTGCTGCTACTATCCCTGCCCCTACCACTCTGAGCCTGGAGTGTGGCTTCGAGGTCAGCGAGTGACCCGCTTTGGATGGCCACGCTCTGTGCTCATAGCCACACCTTTGGGGGCAGCCCGAGGATGCAGATGTGCTCCAGGATGCATTTGACACTCACTTTGTTAGTTCCAGGCCCCCCGAGCCACAGAAAGGTCCTTCCAGACTTTATCAGGATACCCGAGGAAGTTATGGCAGTGACGTCGAGGAGGAAGAATACCGCCAGCAGCTGTCCGAACAGTCAAAGCGTGGCTATTACAGCCAGCATGCCCGCTACCGGGACACTGAGCTATAGATGACCGCAAAGGGACGCTTCCCACCCGCCGCCACAGCAGTGGCTTTCCTGCCAAGCCACTGGGACGACACTTCAGTTAAAATGCACTGCAGCGACGTGGAGGGACCCAAGCTTATGTTCTCTCACAGGCAGCTCCGGGACAGCCGGTTTAAATTAAGACCTGAAGGCTGCTTATGGGACTGGGTTGGACGAGTTTATGGCTTTTTGCTCAGAATTAAGAAGAACACTACAGTCTGATACTGTTATTTTGCTTCAGAGGACCAAAATCTGTATTAATTCTGTTTCCGTATTTTTAATATGTATATTAAGAAGCGATAACTATTTTTTCTCATTAATAGTGGACTGTTTCAATGTGAGGCAGAATGTGAAAAGAGCAATAAAACAATATTGTTGGACTCACACTAAATTCAAAGAAGTATTTTATTATGAGAGTACTTCAAAAAGTTCTTGGGACGATTCATGTATCTCTTAATTGTATTTTTCCATGAACTTTTGAAATATACTCATACAACTAAGTGCCTTTGATGAGAAGTGTCTTTAAATACTCTTCCTTTGAAGCTTTATGCAAAGCCATAATGGACTAAAACATTTTGACTAAATTTTTATACCAGTTTAATAGCTGTGTTTTCCACGCACTGAATCAAGGCATTTGTCTTTGTAATATTTTGCATCAATTCTGACTGTGTATATAATAGCTGTACTTGATAGTTTGGCGTTTAAGTGCTAAATAGCCTGAAGACCAAGAAGTCGGTATAGAAATTTTTTGTTTAAAACTTTTGTTTGAAAAAAGCAGATACTTGAGGAAAATGGATTTTATTTCCAAAAATATGTGTAATGACATCAGTCAGTTTTATAATTTAATAAAAAGGAATACATTGCAATCAATAATTTGCATTGTGGATTTTTTCACTACTTCCTATTTTTAAATGCACCTTTTATTTCAATTACTGATCAGAAAAGTCAGAACTTGCTCATTGTTGGACATTGGAAAAGGAGACACATAGGAAAAATTAAAATTTCCCATAATCCCATCTGATAATTTTGGTGTGTTTCCTCCAGTTATGTATTTGTAATGTCTGTGTGTGATATGTGAGACTGTACTTTTTGCATTCTGTTTCCCACTTTTTCTATTTGACATTTTGTCATGAACGTTTCTCTCAGATAGTGTAAACTCCACACACACATTATTACTAATAACTGAAGAGTGATAAATCCTATGACTGCCTCATAAAAGAGAACAGTTCGCCTATTGTTGGCTGTTGGATTACTTCCCATTTTTTACCTCTTACATGAAATGTACCTCTTTGTATGTAATCCATTTTTGCATGTCAATGATCAACACTCCAGTCCTTTTCTGAATTATTGAGTAAGAGAATAGGAACATTTTTAAGGCTCTTGATGTTTATTGCCAAATAGCTTTCTAGAAAAGTTACATCAATTTACATCCCATATTCACTCTTGAAAGACTAAAAAAAGTTTAAAATTTAAATGAGACAGCTGAGGAATTTAAGCTTGTGTGAATCAAAAGTACACTGAGTTTGGGAAAGGAGGAGAAAAGAGTCTTGGTTCCATTAAGGGTTGTTTATGATATGAATTGTCACAAGGGCATTAAGCTTGTGTTTTAGTCAAGTTAGAAATTCGCTTACTCGTAACTGAGTTATACTGTAAACTCAGCCAGAGTTAGTTGTGCCTCTTGAACATGCCTCTTTCAATCTTGGTGCTGTAATTCATAAACCGTTTAGTTGCAATATCTTAAAATTCTGAACAATCCTCAAGGCACTGACTAAAATTTGCATATCCATAAAGAGAAGCCACCTTTTGTAAACAGAAGAAAAAATATGCTGGTTAAGTATAAGATGATGTAGTTCATGTTGGCCTTTAAGTACAGGAATAAGCTCTTTTGCAAACAGGGAGGAGAGGAGAGGCGGCTTTTCAGCAGGAGCTGGGCTGCCATCTGGTTCCCCTGGCTTTGCGGTGCATTAAATGGTGCAGCTAGGCGGGGCCTCTGCTTCCAAGAACACCCGGTACTGTGCCTGATGGGCCACCAGCTCCTCCTCCACCCCCCTCTTATTCATATCCTGCTTTGTCTGGGACTCATGTAAGGCTGCCTGTAATATACATGAAGTATGATGGGAAAATTGGTGCTGAGCAAATGAGGAATAGGGAAGATAGAGCCGTGAGTGAGGGCAGCGTTCACTCTGTGCACTGTCGGGGCTCCTGGCTCTCCAGAAGCTGGTGTGGGACATGAGATGCGAGTGGGCACGGATTTGATTCACAGGGTCCATCAAGGGGGAAAGTTGTTCAGAGAATTCTCCCCTCCCCCATTGTTTTTTTCTCCTGTGGGGTCTCATGTTGCAACCGCATATTTGCAAGGATGATTTTGGCTGTCTCTTTCTTACTGTGTTTTTCTATGTAGGGCGGTAGCATGATTCCAAGGGCCCTTTAGTAAAAGTCCTGGAGAAGGGGCCGGCCCGGTGGCGCACTTGGTTGAGTGCGTTGGGAGTGCGGCGGTGCTCCCGCCGAGGGTTCGGATCTCATATAGAGACCGGTCCGCTCACTGGCTGAGCGCAGTGCGGGCACGACACTGAGGGTTGCGATCCCGTTGCCAGTCACGAAAAAAGACAAAAAAGGGGAAAAAAAAAAAAGTCCTGGAGAAAGGACCAAAACGGGCAGTGTAGAAGCACTCTGCAGTCTGGCTTACTCCAGAGATCCAGTCTAGGGTACCCCAATGCATCATCCAATGCATCCCAAATAGGAATATAACGTATGATGCCCTAAGATAAACAAGTTATTTATCTTTTGGGGAAATCAATTTTACTTTCAGATTGAGGGAGGGGTGTTTTACATTCAAACAGGGTGGATCATGCCGCAGAATGCAAACCTCACATTTGTGGGAATAAAACGTGGAACTTATTGAAGTTTTGCATTCTTAACAGATCTTTTGGGCTATGCCCTGCACCCCCTTGTCCCGAGATCATTACCTCCTAAGGAGCATGTTCAGTCTCCTCTGCCAGTTAGAGAAGTGCTGCATAACTTTTAGTCCATCCCTGAGCTACTGGTTCTCAACCACGATTTTATTTGTTTGAATGAACAGCAGTGATTTGGGGGAAATTGGGGGAGGTTTTAATTTGGGTAGCAGATCCCAAGACCAGGCTTGAGTCTAAGTGGTTTATTTGGCACCCACAGCGGGAGACCAGAATGTAATCCAGCACTAGTGGTGCCTCAGCCTCAGTGGGCAAGCTGGGCTATTTGTTCACCGTTTCTCTTCCGTCTTGGCTGAGGGCTGCTCTGTGTATGGGTGTATTGTGTGTGTGTGTGTGTGTGTGTGTGTGTGTGTGTGTGGTGAACACAATTGTAGAGGGTAGGTAAATCCAAAATCTGCAGGTTTGACTGGTAGGCTGGAGACCCAGGGAAGAGCTGCAGTCCAAGTTCAAAGGCAGTCTGCTTACCCCCTTCTAGCTGGGGGTAAGTCAGTCTGTGTTCTATTAAGGCCTTCAACTGATTGTATGAGGCCTACCCAGACTTTGGAGGGCAGTCTGCTTTGTTCAAAGCCCACCAATTTAAATGTTAATCTCATCAAAAATATCTTCACAGAAATATCCTGAATAATGTTTGACCAAATATTTGGGAACTGTGGCCTAGCCAAGTTGACACATGAAATTAACCATCACAACATACCATTCCCTTTCCCATGTAGGCCACCTTTGCAGCTATACCTCTTGTCCAGTGTTAAAGCATGAATGAATGAATGAATGAATGAAACAGAAGGGGACTTATTTGCATATATTTACACATGTATAGATTTTATATGATACATTTATATACTGTGCAAATGCATGTATTATGTATTTATATTTTGTTTTAAATAAAGAGCAAATTTAATTTAATTTTATTTATTTATTTATTTAATTTTTTAAAAGATGACCGGTAAGGGGATCTTAACCCTTGGCTTGGTGTTGTCAGCACCACGCTCAGCCAGTGAGCTAACCGGCCATCCCTATATGGGATCTGAACCCATGGCCTTGGTGTTATCAGCACCGCACTCTCCCGAGTGAGCCACGGGCTGGCCCTAAATTTAATTTTAATAAGTAGAAAGGCCCTAAAGATGAAGAAAAAACAAAAATGAGTGAGATTCAAACAATAGAGTTGAAATCCCAATAAAAAAAATTTGACATTTAAAAATAATTAGTAAAATAAATATTTAAAATAAAAAATAAAAGGTTGAATGGCAAATTATATATGTATATATATGTTTGTGTATATACAGATACAGGTAAAACATTTCCATCCTCTCTTTATTAGCACATTCATTATTACAAATCATATTTATTCTTTAAGCCCCTTATCCAATCTGTCCCCTTCCACCTCCCCCCTCTAATAACCATAGATTTGTTCTCTCCATCTGATAGATTAACTGTTCCTCTGTTGGTTTGTGGCCTAGACGATCTGTCCAGTACTGAGACAGGTGTGATCCAGTCCTTCCCTATTATCAAAATGCAGATGCTTCTTCTGTTACTCTGGAGTGTGCTTTGTGGAGAGAGAGGAGCTTTTCGTTTTTTCCTTTTTGGTCTCTGCTGGTGCCTCTCCTTGTGTCAATGCAGTTGAGAGTCTAGTGTGCCATCTGCACTGTGGCTGTGACTGCTGCTAAAGAGATTAGCTGCTTTTGCAGCAGCCATGACAACTGCAGTGGCTATGGTGGACTACCTGCATGGAAATGGTATTTTTGGTGTGCTCTTTACCTGGTTGCGGCTGGGTTCGGCTTCCCCTGGCTCCATACCTCAGGTCCCCGGCTAGGCCCTGGGGCAGTGGTGGCAGCTTGCTTAGTTGCAGCTGAGTTCAGCTTCCCCCAGTTCCATCCTGCCTTTTATTTTAAATCTCATTTATATATATACAGATACGAAATTGGCATATTTTACATTGCCCTTACTAGTGACTGCAATGGCAATAATAGTACTTTGATATTTTTTCTGTGCAATTGAAAACATGAGACTTGGTTTCCTCACTTCTGCACTGACCTCAGGTGCTGTTCCACCTTAGAGAGGACCAGAGTCCAAGTTCCTCCATCCCGAGTTTGAGTCTCTACAGGAGGGATGAGTGGGGAAGAAGACCCCGATGGAAATAAATTATCCTGGGGGAGATAGATGGGTTGAGCTTTTCGAGTAGATCTGTCTCTG